ATGATATATATATATGTGGGATTCGTGAAAAAAAATTGGACCGCGACTCGAATCACGGAATCTTTCGCATTCTTCAATTGATCTATCTAGGGCCCAACGACCAATCCTTCTCACGAATGCCCAATAAGTTTGGCATGGAGGCGTTCGTCCCACATTCCACCCCCCTTTTAACAACATTCAACTCCGAATGTTATGCCACCCAACTTTTATCTCCTCTTTTTGTGGCGTCCTTCGCCATCAACTTGAACTTTCGTCTTCTTTGTCTTAACTCATCAACTTTCAACTTCGTCTTTTGTTATCAACTTTCGTCTTTAATTTTTTTCTCACAAAGATGAGAAATTGTGGAACGTGTTACGAAGCAGACCCTCCATCCCAGAGGGGCCCCAATGTGTAAGATTTGTGAAAAAAATTGGACCGGGATTCGAACTCGTTTGGCATGGAGTCGCTCGTCCCACATATATGTATATATATATTGTTTTTAGGTTTTTTATTTTTTTTTTTTTTTTAACATAAGGACCGGACACAGTGAATCCGTAAAACGAGAGCACAATTATTGACACTTCTTTTAAAATCTATAACAATGAAATATTTAATCTTTGCTTCGTATAATAATCTGTAATTTATCTCGATGAATATTTTATAATAGGTCTTTCAAAAACTTCCAAAACGCTCAGGCAGTCTTGCAGTATATGAATGTAAAACAAAGATGACAAAAGAAAACGTAATTAAAATATGACGAATGAATAAAACGTGATGGTAGGACACGAGGAACGTATTAAATTAGCTATAAAATAATAATTAATCGTTCCTTTGATCCTCGTGCCTACGAAAGAGTACGCCCTTGCATTTATTTCAATTATTTATTTCTCTATTTACAAAAAGAGGCTTCGAATAATTTGTATTTTTTGTAATTGTTTATTTTWTATTATGATCAACGTGTGTGTGTGTATATACATATATCTATCTTTTTTTATCTCTATCAAATTTCCCTGTCACAGTGTTTGTTATTTTTATTCTCCGAAACGACTTGACCGATTTATATGAAATTTTTTTCTGTACATTCGTTAGGTATGAGAATAGTTTTTCGTATATTTTTTATATCCCTGAGTGATAAGGGTGACCCACCATAATTATTTTTTCCTTTAAATGGATATTAAGAAAAAAAGAGAACAAAAAAAAGACAAATGATATGTGCGTATATTCAGACAAT